GGCCTTTGGTGACAGGCAGGGTCAGGACCAAGCTCTGCTGCCACCAGGACTGGCCAAACTAGCTAATGGGAGCACTGGCCCCGTTGCAGGCAGGGTCCCAGACCTCTGGTTCAGTCCCAGGCTCGTTAGAAGCCACCCTGTTCCTCTCACTGTACTTCCCCCTGGGCAGCTCCCTGCCAGGGTTCCAGCAGGACCTTCCTGGGAGGCTGGGAACTAGGGGGGGTGCTGGAGGAGGGGGTCCCAACCGCTGACTTTGGGGCGCCGGGCCCGTGTCCTTGCAGGGACGACGTGCGACCCTGCCTTCTGGAACCTGCAGAAGCAGAGGCTGGTGGCCACCCCCGGAGCTGCTGCAGGCCTACGGGGAGGACTACGTGGAGGAGATCAACCGCCAGTTCATCCAGTTCATGAAGGTGGCCGTGGAGGACCTGAGCGCGGTGGTGAACAGCATCACGGACGGGCTGCTGGCTGCCGACCCCGCCGTGCGCTACTACCCGGGGCAGGGCCTCGGGCTGATGTACTTCATCCACCGCTACCTGCCCTACTTCGTCAGGGACTTGTTCTTGAAAGGTTTCTTCATCAACCCCAAACTGCCCCGAGCGCTGAGGAGCGAGCACCACAACCACACCAAGAAGGCCTGACCCTGGCCAGCCCGCGGGCACCGGGCGGGACCGAGCCTTCTCCCGGCATTCCCAGGCACGCCGGGCCCCGTGTGGCCCTTTCCCAGCCCAGGGGGACAACCAGCACCAGGTGTCACCAACCAGATCGCTTTCCAAAACCAGGCAGACTCAGCTCTATTTTCTATCGTGCCAGAATAGAGGTTTTTTCTAGAAGACTTGGGGGTTTTTGTATCGTTTTTTCTACCCAGGCGCCCTCCGAGGGGGACGCCGCTGCCTGGCTCCGCGCTGGGATGTGCCTCAAGGGGTTCTCAGCTACCCAACATCTTCCTCACTGCCCTTGGAGCTGCAAGCACTCGTCTCCAGCAGCTCTTGGCTAGGTCAAGCCCGGGATGCTGCAGCCAGCACCGTGGCAGCCCTCGCTTCCCTGCTGCTCCTCACACACTCCAGGTGCTCCCGGCGGGGAGCAGGGCCAGGCTGCAGAGCCCTTCACCAGATGAACTATGTGATTGTCACTTTTTAAAGAATAAATCTGTTCTTGATACACTGCTGGGTGGCTCCTTCCCTTCCTGGGAGGCTTGGGTCACAGCTGGCACCACAGCAAAGCAGCCTGGCAGGGGGGGAGCAGGGGCACAGACAGGAGACCTCCTCCTCGGGAGAGGGATCAGCCTGCCAGGAAGAGCTGGCACCCACCCCTACCCCCACCCTACCCCCAAGGTTTCTGTTTGTTTTGCTCCAACTCCTGCTGGGATGGAAGGGGTGATGGTGCCACACATGGACAGCCCCAGGCAGGAAGCCCAGCTGTATGGGGACAACTTTAGCAAGGCCAGGGGACGTGCCAAGAAGGTCACAAACCACGAAGCTCACTCCTGTAGGGCTGCACCTCCTCAGCACCCAGACCAGGCATCACCCACAGCTTGGGAAGGAGCAAGTGCCCAAGGTCCCCGAGGGGTGACACAACCACCCTGCCTGAGGTAGAAACCAGTGTCCCCAGTCACACAAGAGCCACACCAAGATCTTCTACTGCAAACATCATGTTCTGGGTAAGAAGCTCAGCAGCTGCCACAGGCACCCCAGGAAGCAGGGAGAGCAGGGTGCAGGAGGCAGGAATTTATTGGTGTAAAGAGCATCATGGGACAACAAACACTGCAGCACAAGCTGGGATGGAGCCACTCTGCATCCATCCCTCCTCCCTCCCTCCCAGCAGCACCACCGAGCACGTTTCCCACCAGCAAAGCTTTCTCCACTGTCACACCACTTGGAGCACCAGTGGGAGCTGGCCTGGGCACAGCAAGCAGCAGGGCTGCCATGGGCAGGGCTTGGCTCCCATCCCCTAACCACAGACAGGCAGGGCCTGGACAGGGCGTGGGACATTTCTGCCACCAGCCACCCACTGCACTCATCAGGGTGACTGAGTGGAGCAGAGCCAAGGGCCACCCAGCCCAGGGACCAGCTGTGCCTGTACAGCTCCACCAGTAACAGCCTGGATGCCCTGGACAAGGGAGGTGGCTTTGCCAGCCTGGTGTCTGCCCCAGGGGGTGCAGGGGTCCAGCACTGTCCCCAGAGCCTTGACTGTCACAGGGGTGTGACAGCTCCAAGCTGTGGGTCTTCAGAGGAGAAAGGAGCTCAAGCAGCAGGCTCCATGGTAGGATGGACACTGCAAAGAGCTGCTTCTGAGGACACAAGTGCCCATGGTGCTGGAGCAGGGAGGAGCTCTGCTCCCCTGGCTCTGCCTCTGCCCCACAGGCTCCATCCCAGCCCTGGCCAGGGCTGCTCAGGCTCTCCCAGGTCAGGGTTAGTTACAGGGGGATGCAGGGATTGCACAGCAGCACAGGCTACACTACAGACCACACAAAGTATACCTCACAGGAAGAACAGTGACTAGGAGGGGTGCAGGGCACTGCCAGCAGACCCCTGGCCATGGCAGCCCTGACGTGTGCCCTGTGCTAGCGGGAACTCCTTGGAGGCAGCAACCCCCCCAGCTGCTGTTTGCTCTAGGAGCATTAAGCACATACAGCAATTAGTACAGGAACACAGGGATGAGGAGATACACAGCAGGAGAGGTCCCTCCTGCTGCACAGGACCAAGCCTGTGCCACTGGTCCCTCTGGACCTCTCACAGCACACAACTCAAACTTGTGAATAATTTAAATTAGCGACTGTACAGCTTCCTCATCTGAGCCAGTTCCACAGATGGGACAATCCTGGAGATGGGGCAAGGGATAACTCAGGGAGTTAGATAAGGATCCTGCCAGACTCCAGAGGCTGGAGGGTGGGACAGGAGCAGAGCAGGGTTAGAAGATGGGAATGTAGTTGTCGATCTTGGTCCTGTGGCGCTGGGCGATGCACTCGGCGATCCACACGATGTTGCGGCACTCCTGCTCCTTCAGCTTCACGAAGGCATAGAAGACTCCAAAGTGGAACTGGTTGAGGAAGGCCAGCTTGTTCAGCTTCACCTGGGGGAAAGGCCAGAAGAGGACATGTCACTTAGCCACCTCCGATGGGAAGAGCTGGTCAAGGAGCAGCTTGGGAGGCCCCACGAGCTCCCCAGCAGGGAGGGGGCTCAGCACTCGTGTCCTGCTCTGCACATTTCCATGACATCTCAAGGTCATGGAATCCCAGTTGGAAGGGACCTTCAAGATCATCCAGATCCAACCCCCTGCATGGGCAGGGACACCTCCCACCAGCCCAGGTTGCTCAGAGCCCCATCCAACCTGCCCCAGGGCAGCTCTAACCTACAGCACGTGGCTCAGGGCAGGCCTTGACATTTGAAGGGAGAAATATTTATACCCTTATGTACTGTGAAAATCCTCCTTCGTCCACCACAACGACACTCTGGCTTTGCTAGTGATGGACTCAATATCCTCCAGCAGCCCCAAAACTTGCCTCCCACACTGCTGTGATCCGTCCGGGTGAGAACATGGACCAAGCACCATGCTGGGCCCCCATTTCCTCACTGAAGCAGAGGGAAGCATCCTTCTCCTCTCCCAAAATTCTGTTTGCCCAAGCCCTGCTGACAAGGCAGCAGACCAGCTTGCTGCTACCCTGAGCTTTGCAACTGGCACAGGCAGGCAAGTGTTTCAGGGCTCACTCACCTCGTGCTCAAAGAACCTGTCTTCAAGGGTCTTGTCTCCAGGGTTGCTGCCAGCCCCTTCAAACAGCAGCTTGTACTCCTGCAGGAAGACATTGCAAGAGGATACACCCCAAATCCAAAGCCCTCCCGAGCTCAGCAGTGTCCCTGTGCATCCAACAGACACCCCAGTCAGCAGGCCAGGTCAGCAGAGGACACAGAAGCCCTGTGCACACAGGGGCACTGGCAGGGGTTGCTGCTGAGGCTGCACTGCACACCCCCTGGCTGAAGGCAGAGAAAGTCTTCATTCCATCTGTCAGCTTGTCCAGCCACAGATCCTCCATCCCTTCTCTCAAATGTGCAGAAAACCCCACCATCCCCTTGCACACCCTCGCTGTACAGACCCTCTGTGTACAGACCAGAGGGCTTGGGCCAGGCCCCTGTGCCCACAAACACTGGCACATGTCCCAGCAAGGTGACACCAAACTCTCCAACCCCAAAGAGACTCCAAGCCATGCACAGGAACAGCTTAAGGAACCCAGACACATCCAAATGTGCCCTCCCAGGTGAGCATCTCCCCTGCAGCTGACCCAGAGCTCAGTGACCCACGAGGGCTGGAGATGTGGCACATGACATCTCCATGAAGACAGGTTCCCCTCCCAAACAAAGAGAGCCTGTCATTGCTGCCACAAGGGTTTGGTGGTGGGACAGGGCACACAGGACACATCTGTGCTCCCTATCACCACTGCAGTGACAGCCAGGACTAAGCATCCAACAGCATCCCTAGCTCCAGCAAAGCAGCTCCACTTTGGCCAAGCAGAGCATGAGGCCAACAGCAGCAGCAGCAGAAAACAAGAGCCCCCCATGCCAGGCTGTCAACCCAGAAGTTCTCCCTGATCCCTGAGACACTCTGATTCTTCCCCCATCCCCTACAGCCCTCACCCCAGAGCACTCACAGGGTAGTAGTCAGCAACATTCTTGACTTGTTCATAGTCATCTGCTCTGGCCAGCTGAGCCAGGCCCTCGGGGTAGAGCTTGCCACAGTGAGGGAACAGCTTTGCCCTGTCCTCCTTGGACAGCTCAGTGCCAAAGGAGTTGATGGTGATGATGAAGGCTCTCCGGTCAGCTTCAAACTGTGGGAGAAGAGCAGTTCCACCTTGGGATGCAGCACCTTTGCCAGCAGACACCCAGGCTGCTCTGAACAGAGCCACATGGGAGGGAAGCAGGAGCAAGCTGCCTGGTACACAGAGAGCTCCTCCCAATGTCCAGCCAGGACAGGCTACACGTGTAGGCTCCCAGTATGCCCAGTAGCTGATGCCTGGGGTGTGGTCAGGTGAGGAAATCTCCACCTCAGGCACAACAACTGGGCAGAACCCTGCCCAGGCCACAGAGTTTCTCTCACTTACTGCCCCAGAGTCCTGCACATCCCACAGCCAGCCTTGGCATGGAGACAGGGCAGGGAACAGCTCTGCTCCTTCTCCTGCTCCTTACCCAGGTGAGGGGATGAAGTTGTTGCCTCAAAAGGCAGCAGATGCTGGCACCTGGCAAGATCAGGACTGGGGAATCAAACCTGTCATGTGCAGGCAGTGCTTTCCTTGGGCTCCCAGGGAGCAGGTGGAGTGTGCACTGGGATGCTGAAGAGTAGCTTTAGCATCCTGAAAGCTGGCAGGGAAGCTGGGCACAGAGCAGTAAGTATCATGGCAACACCATCCAGCTACAGGGGTTTCCACACCTACCTCCAGGATGGGACACATGGCATCTGCTGTGGTACCTCCCAGCACCTTGCAGAACTTGTAGAAGGACTCCAGGTAAGCCTGGAAGAGAGAGGGCAGGTAAGGACTCTTCTATACAGCTTCATCTACTGCCCCACAGGGCCACTCAGGAGGGGACAAAGAGCAAGCAGGGACACTCCCAGATGCTTTGTAACACAGCACAGGCACTTTCACCCCACATGAACTTGGATGCCAAGCTCACACAAGGGCTGGTGCTTCCCGCAGGAGCTGAAGACATGAAGGGCTGTGCTTGGGTTCGTTCAAGCACTGCAGGCACGGTCTCCAGGCAGGGGGTCAGAGACTCACAGAGTGGTGGGGGCTGGAAGGGACCTCTGAAGATCATCTAGTCCAACTCCCTGCTAGAGAAGGACCACCTACAGTAGATCCCACAGGAACACATTCAGGTGGGTTTGGTATGACTCCAGAGAAGGAGACTCCACCACCTCCCTGGGCAGCCTGTCCCAGGGCTCTGTCACCCTCAGAGTAAAGAGGTTTTTCCTGATGTTTAACTTGACCCTCCTGTGCTCCAGTTTGTGCCCATTGCCCCTTGTCCTGTCACTGGGCACCCCTGAGAAGAGTCTGGCCCATCCTCCTGACACCCCCTGGAGATACTGACCAGCACTGATCAGATCCCCCCTCAGGCTCCTCCTCTCCAGCTGAACAGCCCCAGCTCTCCCAGCCTTTCCTCACAGGCAGATGCTCCAGTCCCTTTAGCATCTCCATGGTCTGTGCTGGACTCTCTCCAGTACTTCCTTCTCCTTCATGAACTGGGGAGCCCAGAACTGAACACAGTTCTCCAGATGGGCCCTCACCAGGGCAGAGCAGAGGGGGAGTAGAAACTCCCTTGACCTGCTGGCCACACTCTACTTCATGCAGCCCAGGATGGCATTGGCCTTCTTGGCTGTACAGGCACTGTGCTGGCTCATGGTCAGCCTGTTGTCAATCAGAACTCTGAGCTCCTTCTCCCCAGAGTTGCTCTCCAGCAGATCACCCCACAAACTGACCCAGGGGGTTGCGCCTGCTCAGCTGCAGTATTACACTTGGAGATGAAAGCCTGTCTGGCTCCTTTGAGTTGCCTAACTCCAAAGCATTCACTCAAGTCTCACGTGGTCTCCTGACCTTGCTCTGGCCCCCACGGACATGCCAAGCCACACAACTGGAGCTACAAGACCTCCTCTCAGAAAGTACCGCTGCGTAAGCGGCATCAAGAGATGAGACAGGACATCTGTGAAGGAAACCAGCCCTTCTCTGTAATTCTCTCTTCACTCTGCAGCCACTTGGTCTCCATCCCAACTGGAGCACTGCGTGAAACATGTCAGGCTGGGCACAGCCACGCTGCCTCCAGGAAACGTAATCCTTTGTGGAGATGGACTGTAATCCAGCTGGAAGATGACTGCATCTCCCAGGGGAAGCCCGTGAAGGCAGTGCATGGCTAAAAGTGCTGTTCAGCAAGAACCTTCTCAGAAGAAGTCATCATGTGGTAAAAAGTCTCCCTGGACCGAGAGCTGCAACCTGAATCACTTAAATGGGATGGAATGAAATGATGCTGAGACATTGCAAATCTCTGCTTTGATCACCACGACTCCAGGACTGAGGATGGCCCAGGAATGCATGTGCTGGACGCCTTGTCACCACCCAGGGAGATTCAGACTGGACCCCTTGCTTTCTAAACTCCTTCTGAGAGGAGCCCAGGTGTAGCTGGATCCAACCTGTGTCCCAGACCTGGCCCAGAGGGGTTAAAATGTCACAGTCCGAGGAAACGCTCAACCCTCCTTGATCAGATGAAGGTGAAATTACCCTCAGGGCCTGTATTTGAATTAGGTTTAATCAAAACTCTAGAAGGAATTGGGATACTTCAATTATTATCTCAGGCTGCACGATCATAAAGGCTGACATTTGGATCACAAGAGCACAGCACGTGTATGTTTAAGCTGCACAACCTGAGAAAAAACATCATGGTTAGGCCTGAATGAGTTTTGGAAGGAAGAGAGAGCAGGAGAAGAAAAGCTTGGAGAGAGAGAATTAGAAACCCCCCAGTCCTGGCTGCAGCTTTGGGCAGAGTTGGTGTCAGTGAGGCTGCCCAAGCCCACCAGTAAGTGCAGGTCTTGAGGGCTGGTCCCTCACAACACTCTCAGCCTCTGCACTAGGAAAGCACCTGGATGACTCTGTTCTGTAAATATTTGCGCAACAGGACACTGATGGGTGAGCATCACACACCATCTCCAGGATTGCCACTTGTAGGAGAGCACAGAGCATCATTCTGCAGAGCTCCCACAGGAACAAGGACATGGATAATGGACTTGGCTGGAGGCTGACATAAGTGGGAAGCTGGGAAAGAGGGTCAGGCACTACCCCTGCCCTTCTCAGAGCTCACAAACTTTGGGCTTCAGAAGGAAAAACAGGTGAACTCAAGTATCCAGCACTGAATCACAGACACCATGGAAACAGACACATTCTGAGAAGAGTCTGGCCCATCCTCCTGACACCCCCTGGAGATACTGACCAGCACTGATCAGATCCCCCCTCAGGCTCCTCCTCTCCAGCTGAACAGCCCCAGCTCTCCCAGCCTTTCCTCACAGGCAGATGCTCCAGTCCCTTTAGCATCTCCATGGTCTGTGCTGGACTCTCTCCAGTACTTCCTTCTCCTTCATGAACTGGGGAGCCCAGAACTGAACACAGTTCTCCAGATGGGCCCTCACCAGGGCAGAGCAGAGGGGGAGTAGAAACTCCCTTGACCTGCTGGCCACACTCTACTTCATGCAGCCCAGGATGGCATTGGCCTTCTTGGCTGTACAGGCACTGTGCTGGCTCATGGTCAGCCTGTTGTCAATCAGAACTCTGAGCTCCTTCTCCCCAGAGTTGCTCTCCAGCAGATCACCCCACAAACTGACCCAGGGGGTTGCGCCTGCTCAGCTGCAGTATTACACTTGGAGATGAAAGCCTGTCTGGCTCCTTTGAGTTGCCTAACTCCAAAGCATTCACTCAAGTCTCACGTGGTCTCCTGACCTTGCTCTGGCCCCCACGGACATGCCAAGCCACACAACTGGAGCTACAAGACCTCCTCTCAGAAAGTACCGCTGCGTAAGCGGCATCAAGAGATGAGACAGGACATCTGTGAAGGAAACCAGCCCTTCTCTGTAATTCTCTCTTCACTCTGCAGCCACTTGGTCTCCATCCCAACTGGAGCACTGTGTGAAACATGTCAGGCTGGGCACAGCCACGCTGCCTCCAGGAAACGTAATCCTTTGTGGAGATGGACTGTAATCCAGCTGGAAGATGACTGCATCTCCCAGGGGAAGCCCGTGAAGGCAGTGCATGGCTAAAAGTGCTGTTCAGCAAGAACCTTCTCAGAAGAAGTCATCATGTGGTAAAAAGTCTCCCTGGACCGAGAGCTGCAACCTGAATCACTTAAATGGGATGGAATGAAATGATGCTGAGACATTGCAAATCTCTGCTTTGATCACCACGACTCCAGGACTGAGGATGGCCCAGGAATGCATGTGCTGGACGCCTTGTCACCACCCAGGGAGATTCAGACTGGACCCCTTGCTTTCTAAACTCCTTCTGAGAGGAGCCCAGGTGTAGCTGGATCCAACCTGTGTCCCAGACCTGGCCCAGAGGGGTTAAAATGTCACAGTCCGAGGAAACACTCAACCCTCCTTGATCAGATGAAGGTGAAATTACCCTCAGGGCCTGTATTTGAATTAGGTTTAATCAAAACTCTAGAAGGAATTGGGATACTTCAATTATTATCTCAGGCTGCACGATCATAAAGGCTGACATTTGGATCACAAGAGCACAGCACGTGTATGTTTAAGCTGCACAACCTGAGAAAAAACATCATGGTTAGGCCTGAATGAGTTTTGGAAGGAAGAGAGAGCAGGAGAAGAAAAGCTTGGAGAGAGAGAATTAGAAACCCCCCAGTCCTGGCTGCAGCTTTGGGCAGAGTTGGTGTCAGTGAGGCTGCCCAAGCCCACCAGTAAGTGCAGGTCTTGAGGGCTGGTCCCTCACAACACTCTCAGCCTCTGCACTAGGAAAGCACCTGGATGACTCTGTTCTGTAAATATTTGCGCAACAGGACACTGATGGGTGAGCATCACACACCATCTCCAGGATTGCCACTTGTAGGAGAGCACAGAGCATCATTCTGCAGAGCTCCCACAGGAACAAGGACATGGATAATGGACTTGGCTGGAGGCTGACATAAGTGGGAAGCTGGGAAAGAGGGTCAGGCACTACCCCTGCCCTTCTCAGAGCTCACAAACTTTGGGCTTCAGAAGGAAAAACAGGTGAACTCAAGTATCCAGCACTGAATCACAGACACCATGGAAACAGATACATTTGGGCACCTTGAGGGCCACCTAGATCCAACCCCCTGCATGAGCAGGGACACCTCCCACCAGCCCAGGTTGCTCCAAGCCCCATCCAACCTGCCCTTCAACACTGCCAGGGATGGGGCAGCCACAGCTTCCCTGGGCAAGCTGGGCCAGGCTCTCACCACCCTCACACTCCAGAATTTCTTCCTCATGTCTCACCTAAATCACCTCTTTTCCAGTTTTAATGCATCCCCTCCTGTCCTCTCACTACAAGCCCTTGTAAACCCCATGCTGGGTGCCCTCCCCTACGGACCCTTGCCCAGGTGACAGCAACTCACAGAAACTCTCCGGTGTTCCCAACTCCTGACCCCAGAAATGGCAGCCTCTTTGCATTTGCCAACCCTTAATGGACTTGGATCTAGATGATCTTTAAGGTCCCTTCCAACCCAAACCATTCCATGGCTCCATGAACCCCCCTCATTCACCCTCCACCTCTTGCTACCCCCATCTGCCTGTTGTCTCCAGCCCCTAGGAAGAGCCTGTCCATCCATGCTGACTTTTCCAACACTATCTGCCACTACCACCAGGTGAGGAATCCCAACCATTTGGGGGGTTTCTCATACAAAAGTCATTGTACCCAAACCTTTCAACATGTCCTCCTCAGCAACTTCTCTTCTGCTCTTCATATGCAGAGGTGAGAGGAATGAGACAGTGTTGAGGACAAAGGCATTGTGGATCTAATGCAGCAGCACAGGGATATTTGTGCAGTTCTTTCCTGCTGTTAGGAACAGGTTGTCTTGTAGAGGGACACTTGCTTGAGTCAATTGTAAGCCAATATTTCACTTAGTGGTAGGAAGGAACAAGGAGACCTTTGCTGTACAGGCAGAGTGAGGATCACCTCCTTGCCCCTCCCATACATCACTCCACATTTATCCACATTGATTTGCCTGCTATATTTTATTGTCCAGCCATAAAGCTCCTTCAGCTGGTTCCTCCAGGAAGGTCACCAGGAAAGGTGATCAGCTTCATTTCAACATATCCATTCAATATGGGGAAAAAATAGGAGTAAGCACTGAAGATAACAACAACTGTTCCAATCTTCTGCCTACAAACTGGCAGATTCCTCGAAGAAGTCTGCATTAGGTCTAGAAGGTAGCCCTTCCCATGCCAGTTCCTCCTGGATGAAGGCATCCAACCCAGGCACCCTCCAGCTCTGTTCCTCAGAGCAGCTCAGCACAGATTTCAGACCTGATTTGATGTCCTTCATTTGCCTGTGAAGAACATTTGCATGGTATTATACATTTTCCAGCCCTTGGGGAAACAGGTGGCTTCAGGTGAGAGACTGCCAGCAGCAGTTACCTTTTTCACCCTTGGGTCACCCTGATTTGTTAGTGACAGACCTCTGTGTTCCCTGGGGACTGCTCTTTGGTGAGACCCAGGCCCAGCACATGCCAAGAGACACTTCAGTTTGGGGTAGGAAGAGCAGAATGCAAAGAACTATCAGGTCTCAAAAAGGAGAAGAGAAAGGACCTGGCAGCTGGGACCCAAGGAGACACCTCCACCTCCTAAGCTTCTCATCCCAAGGTAGAATTCTGCACCTTGCAAGGGGTGCAGGTGTTTGTGTCCAGATATTTATAGTCCCCTCCATCACAGAAAGACCAGTACATGCCAGAGGCCACAGGCAGCTAGGCATGACTGCTGACATGCAGCTCTTTCTCCCCTCCCTTTGCCTCCTTCCCTTCATGCCTGATCTGTTCCCTGCCTCTCCAAGGCCACGGCTTCCTTGGGAAGCAGAGGTCACACTGACTGCAGGCTGGTTGTGACCAGCCAGAACAAGGTTGGCAGATACAATCTGCATCCCACCCTTCATCCAGAGAGTCCAGATGGAGCGATAGCCACAGCCTGCACATAAACACATGCTTTGACACTGCCAGCTAGAACCAGACAGGGCCTGCAGAGGAGACAACAGGTCCCAGTGCAGGCTCAGGACAAGGAGATCCTCAGCCCCTCCATCCCTGTGCCCTGCAGGACTCCTCCAGCCCAGCTGCACCCTTCACACTGCTCTACCAGGAGCATCTGACCCCAACCACAGCCACTGGAGGCTTGAGCAGATTGTTGGAAGCTCTTCTGAAAGAGCTCAAGACAGAGCCAAGTCCATGGAAGCCCTTCAGCCAAGTTTCAGATCCAGCCACTTCAGCCCTTTGAATGCAGTCAGCTACACATCTGAACTCAGGAGGTTAAGGAGAAGCCTTCTCCTTTCTGCCTGGGGCCTCAGGAAATTTATTGACAGACATGACCTCTAAAACAATCTCTTTCACAGACTCTTGACAGCCCTGACTCTGCAGAGCTGGGTGACTGGATGTCAGACTCCTCCTAGAGCATCTTTACTTTCCAGCAGATGCAACTAGGTCTTGGTCATAGTCACTCCAGTACTAGTCCAGGGAAGAAAACTAAGGGAAAGCAAATTCACTTTTTGATCTACACCAAGAAGAAAATACCCTCTTCCCCTTTGGTTGAAGAAAGCCAGCCTAAGTTGGAGCTCCTGACTCAAGACAGAGCTGTAGTCATGGCAGGAATAAATAGGGAAATTAACATCACTTTCCCCTCCCAGAGACTCACTTACCTTATACAGTGTGTTTCGAATGATTTCGATGTTCATTTCATCCAGGTCCTGTTCAGAGATGCAGTCTTGGAAGAAAGCAGCTGAAAGAGAGCCACAGACAGAGTTAGCACTGCCCCAACTGTGCCTGGCGTTTCCACAGTCCTCAACAATACCAGGCAGAAGCACAGCCTGGATTGAGCTTGTCCCTCCTGGGTCTGGCCCTTATCTTCAGCAGCCACCAAATTGCCATGACTCAAAACCTCAGGCTCCACCATGGCTCCCCCAGGCCACAATCGTTTTGGGGGCTCTCACACCAGCCTATTCTCAGCTCTAGCCCCCAGCATTAGTGCCAGAGCACCCTGTGTTTAAAAACAAGCAAACCCCAAACTGTTCCCAGATGCAGGCACACAGAGGTGACAAGACAGCTTTCAAACTGCCTGCTGCAGCACAGCAGCAGCACTTGAGCATCTGTGGGACAGCAGCTGGTGAGCCCCTGAGGAAGATGGTGCTGGATTTCTCCCCCACCCTCCTGCACCTTAGCTGGATGAAGGAGGCATGGGGATGTCACAGCTCCTACAGCCCAAGACACTGCATGATTGGAGCCAGGAGCTGTTTGCCCTGGTCAGGTCTGTCAGTCCCATTTTCCACTTACTCCAAGGCCTTTTATTTCTCCAGCTGGAGGTAAGCAACAGGAGGCAGGATGTATTCTGGTAGGACACTCAGCCTTATGTACTTTGCCAGAGTATCTCTGGGAGAGAGCTTAAGCAGTTGTTGCCACTGAAAGACCACAGATTTCAGACCTAACACGGGGCACTGCCAACTGCAGGCCAAGATGAGTCTTGTCCATCTACAGTCCCACAAGGCTGTTGTACCACTCACTCACTAGCAAGAGCACAATAAAACCCACTGACAGGACTGTTATGACTTCTTCAGCTCTCACTCAGCAACCAATTTTTGCTGAATCTGCTACAAAGAGAAATATGAGCAGTCCAGCTGTGGGTAGAGGACACTGCACCCACGCTGAGCACTGGCTCTGTACCACAAACCAGGTACTGTGCAGGCTCTCACCTCTGGCATGCTCTGCTTTTATAGCTCAAGCTCCCTGGTCTGTGGGGTCTAGAGGGCTCTCTGAACATGCATTAAGACCCCAAGAGGTTTCTTGAGAGCAATGCCACGTAGCTGGAAGAGCACAGCTCCCTGGGACTGGCAAAAGTGAAAAGAGAGCGTGCCAGGACTGGTTTGCACTGCAGGACTCACTGGCCAGCCTGGACAGTAGCAGTGGCTACTTCAGAGTAGCAGAGGAATGAGAACACAGCTATTTCAGTTCTTGGCCCTCCAATATCCCAAATTAGCCTAACAGCAAGTCTTATTTTGCCCTGCTAACCTATGAGAGCCATTTGGGGTTAGGCATTCCTACCAAGCCACGTAGCTGCTCCAGGAGATAGAGCCGCCGTTCCTTCGCGTGTGGTCACTGGAAGGAGTGCAAGTTAAACAACTGGAGCCCGCCTGCCTGCCTGTTTAGGCAACACAGCTACTCCTCGTGTTCTCCTGCCGACTGCTGAAGAAATGCCACGCTGGATGGTACACAGCCTCAAGGGCACAGCCAGGGCAAAGGTCTGAAGATCCCAGGCTAGCCAGGGCAGAAGGAGCAAAGCTCACTGGTGTGCAAGTGTGGGAACACTGGAAGCAAAGACCCTCAGCTGCCAGCCACATTCTCCAGCTCCACTTCACCATCTCCACCCCATGCACAGCTGGAAGTCCTAAGCTCTCTGAGAACTAGTATCTTTGAAAAGAGTTGGTTCCAGCTTATTCCCAGAAGGGGAAGGTTCCTGCTTGCTCCTGAGGAGGATTTTCTTCCCACACACCATCCCCACAGCCGGCCCAGCTCAGCACCATGCAGGGGCTTGGTTCTCCTCCTGCACCTTGCAACCCAAACCTCTTGAGACATGTTCTTCCTCCTCTGCTGGGCTCTGGCTGGCAAATCATTTTTCCATGACAACTATTTCACTTCACCTGCCCCGTTCACTTCCACAGAGCATTTGCAGAACAGCTTTCAGTTCCAAACCCAACCATTTCTATTAAAGACAACGTGATGATTAAAAGTGTTTTGCTCCTTCTAGCAACCCCAAAAGAATGATTAATCACTGACTCAGGCACACCTCATCACTTTTTTGCCCACAAATGCTAAACTAGAAAGCTTCCTGTGACTACCTTTCCTAGTACTGCAATAAGACTTCCAGATTTTCTCCAGAACCACTTCCTACACCTTTTATCTTTTAAAAAAACCTGACTGTTTGGTTTAGTGTCACACACCTCCTGGTCAAGGCTTGTAGCCCTAAGACAGTGCCTAAGATCCTGCTACACAATGAGCTTTGGGAGATGTATATTTTTTTTGAATTTATGTTTATTTTTTTGCTGTTGCTGCTTGGGGTTTTTTGGTATGTAAAGAGCTTTCCTTGATCTAGAGCTAATTTTATCAGTTTCAAAACAAGAGCAGGCATGTGCAGATCCCTATAATTATCTACAAAAAATACCCAGTGGTCCAAGTAAAGGTGCTGGAAATTCAGTGACTCATTTCAGCAGAGAACCTGATAGCCCTTCACTAAGGAAGCTCATGTGCCATGGCAATTACTGGTCTGAGACCTCTCAAACTTTCTCCTTCCTGCCTCATTTCAGGTGATGATTCCCAAAAGAGAACATATCAAGCAGATCAGATCGAGCTACACCTGCACTGCCACCACATCTCAAAGCTTGGCTCACACAAACCAACCTCCCCAGTGGTCTGTTCTGGATGTTTGTTGAAGTGTACAGAGAAAGAGCAGCCCCTCCAGAGGGAAAATTGGCATGGAATAGGCATGAACCTGAACTGCAGCCCAGCCACCACAAGCAGCATGGCCACATCTGTGCATTACCCACCACTTCATCTTTCTGGAGCACAACCTAGTTAGACTGGGAGGAGAAAGGGACATCTGTTCCACAAACAGCTGAGATACGTTTGAAAAAGCTCTGCTCACCCAGGGGAGTGTCCACCAGGATTGCATTGTAGAGCTCAGCAGGTGTCTGAGCAATGTTCACGGCTTCCATCTGCTCAAAACTTCCCAGAGGATGACACTTGGGCACCAGTTCAGAGATGGAACGTTGGTGCAGAGTCCCAGTGATCAGCAGAATGACATTGTCAATCATGTAGCTGTACCTGGAGGAAGGCAAGAGGAAGCCTGTCACTACACAAATATTAAAACCCAACACTTGACAACAGACAGGCACACATCTTCAGCACCTGGGGACATCTCCAGAAAGGTCTTGCCCCAAAGAACTAGTAAGGAGCCTCCTTAACATCTCCTTCTTGTGCCAGCCTAGGAAAAGTGAGTCAAGCACAGCCTCAGGCTGGAATTTATGCTGCAGCTCAACCACACCACCACTGCAGAGTAGTGGATTGGAAGGGTCTTCTGGAGGTCTCCAGCCTAGTGTCCTGTTGCAAGCATGGGCAGCTCCAGCTGCTCAGGGCTGTGTCCTAGTGAACTCTGCATTATCTGCAAGGATGTATGTACGTTCTGAAATGATTAAGTACCACTATCAGTTCTCCTATGAAGGCAGGCTGAGGGAATTGGGGTAGTTCAGCCTGGAGAGGAAAAGGCTCTGGGGAGACCTTAGAGCACCTTCCAGTGCCTGAAGGGGCTCCAGGAAAGCTGGGGAGGGACTTGGGACAAGGGCAGGGAGGGAGAGGACAACGGGGAATGGATCAAAATTGGAAGAGGGGAATTTTAGGTGAGACATGAAAAAATTCTTTAGTGTGAAGGTGGTGGGACACTGAACAGGTTGCCCAGAGAAATTGTGGCTGCCCCAGTTATATTATACAGGACCAGCATATTCAGTCTTTGGCCCAGTAATGATGGGACATTCAATCTGGAATCACTCAGCACAAGTTCCACCAACACAAGCCCTTTGTGACATTCTCTCCAGTTTGGACATATTTCTCTTGCACTGAGGAGCCCAGAACTGGTGAGGCCTCCACCAGTACCGAGTAGAGGGGAAAAAAATCACCTCACAGTTTTCCCAGTTCAGCCAGAGAAGGGCCTGAAGACTAGGAATACAGGAAAGGCTGGTGGCCTTCTTCAAGCAGTCCTAGCAAGGGATCAAAGCATCATGTAAATACAAGGAGCTGAGAGAAAAAGCATCCCCAGCAAGAACAGGAGTGGTGCTCTAGGCACTTTCACCACCAGCTGAGACAAAAGCCACCCAAGCTGAGAACCTGAAAAACATCAAGTGAGATGGAGGGTTTTTTCCCCAGACAGCAGAAGCCTTGGCCAATGTCCTCACTGATAGAGCTCTAACTCTAAAAAGTTAAATGATGGAACAGACCTGAAGCAACTCCTTGGCAGGAGCTGCTCCAAACCAAAGGAGATCAGGCCTGAGCTAGAACAGCAGAAGGACCTTTGTACTTCTGGAGCTGGAGCTCTGTTGAGTCCCAGACTTCCCACATGTACTTGAGCACTGAAGAAAGGGAATATCAGGCCAGCACTCCAGGACAAGGTCAAGGGCAGGGACACCAAGGCTCTCCACACCTTTGTCAGACAGGCCTTGGGATGCTGCTGGTCTTTTTTTTTCCAGAAGGACCTAGCACAGCCCTGTTTCCCTGTGAAGCACATCAAAGGCAGGGAAGCAGAGCCAGTTCAAGGCAGATTTCAGTAGGTTTTATAAGATGGGCTTATTGCCTCTCAAACGTGCTCAAAGGGCACATATGCATGAACAAATCCACACCTTAGATCCTCAAACAGGTGCTGCCTTTTCCTCTCCTGCAGGGCCAGGTAACACCTCCTGGCCCCAGCGTTTTTGCAGAGCCTGTGTTTGCAGCCTCTCTTTCCAGGGACCTTCCATCTAGAACCATGACAAGCTCCACATGCTGGGAAACCTCCTCTTGCCCTTTAATCCAGAAGATCATTATCCTCCCTCCTGTTTGTGCAACTCTCACCATGGAGATGATTGCAATCTCCAGGACAGCAAGAAGAGCCTGTTTATGAGAACTCAGGGTGAGTCCCTTGCAGCAAGCAGCTGGTTCCTGGCAAATACAAGCATCTGCACCCTCAAGCAGATGCATCTTCACAAGGTGCACCAGCCCAAAGATACAAGGGATCATCTCCCAGCTCCACCACCTGCCCTCAAACATGCAAGTTTGCTTAGTGCAACACAGTGGTTTTCAGGGAAGTCCACACCAGGATTACTCTCACCAAACAAAGCCCAAATTAATTTCTTCAATTCAGTCTACAAAGAAGGAACAGGCAAAGGCTATGGGATTGTTGGTAGCACAGCTCTTCCCAGCTTACCACAGTTCTTGCTCTCTGCAAGGTTATTTGCAGCTTGCAAGGAGCCTGGCCAAAGTCAACCATACAAGAGGAACTGAGCCCTTTTGGTTAACAGGTCTGGCTTCAGAGCAGCTTAGCTCCTGGAGTCACACCAAGCTCATCCCTGCACACCCAGCCCAGCTTGGCATGAAAGCCCCAGCCAGCACTGGGGAGAGCAGCCCCAGCCCAAGCCCTCTTCATGCATGAGAGGCTCCGGTTTTTGGACTGATGGTCCCAGGAAGGACAACCCAGCTGGCTCCCACTGCCAGAGTGCAAGGCATGGCTCTCCACATTTCATTTATTCCCCCTAACTTCCTTGTTTCCTCATCCTTCAGTCTGAGGAAATGCAGTTTATAAACCAAATGCCAAGGTATCCAGGGACACCCAGCAGCAACTTTTTGAAAGAGCACTTTACCAATTGTGACTATCCTGCTGCCAGGGAAGGATTCATCCCTGCAGGAGGAGGAGTTGCCACGCTCAAGGCAGAGGGGAAATTTCTCATTCAAATTTCCACTGCAACAGCATTTCAAACCTTTAGAATTACAAGAGCTGCAGCAGGACAGAAGTCTTCCTGTGCCTGGTGAGACCAAGCAGACAGCAGCACCACTTCCTAACCCTTCTAATATTTCCTGTTTCCTTCCAGGAAGCCCAGACCACACTTACTCACCTTCAGTCCCTGCTTCATCCCAGTAAAAACCATCATGGCTCAGTCAATCATGACAATGAGCAAGAGCTTTCCTAGGAACCTCCAACTACTTGTTTAATAGAGAAGCTTTTGTCATAGAATCCCAGAGTGGTTTGGGTTGGAAGGGACCTTAAAGCTCATCTAGATCCAACCTCCTGCATCTGCAGGGATACTTCCCTGCCAGGTTGCTCAGAGCCTGACCAGACTCATCACTCTCCCCACCTCCTGTTAGGTTCTCACCAGCTTCAAATGTTTGAGCCTTCATGGTAAATGCATGCTTAGACCCCTCCAAGAGCATTTTAACCTTCACTAGCTGTCAGCACAGCTAGTAAGAGGACCAGAAAATGGGACACATCAGAAAATAGGAGTAGTTGGTCACTTGCAACACCATGAAGTCTTACTGCAGCCCTTACTTGGCATGGAAAAGAGGTTAGGACATAGGATGATCTGGTGGGAAACTGGAGACAAGGCAGAAGTTCCAATAAGCTCCTCGGCGAGGACAATCCTCTGCACTAGCCTCCTGGGAACTCTCAGTAGGAGCTGAGAGGAGAAAGCACTACATGGAAGCTTTACAGAACCTACAGGCAGTGACATGAGGTGGCAGGGCTTTAATGAAGTGATAAAACAGTACCCTATCTCCAGCCCCCAACCATGCCTCCATAAAGACTGTAGCAAAACTCTCTTGGGCAGGAATGTGTTTTACTCTCCTGTTTTGAGCTGCTCTCTGCCCACACGATGAGATGGACACAAAGAGAGGGGCTGTTCAGTCAGGGTGCAGTTACACCCTGCCTCACTCTTCCTGTCAGCCACTGAACTGAGGTGTGGTGTATTCCAGAAATTCACCTTCACAGAAACATGCTTTTAGTTGATACTGAGAAGTGTGTCAGAAACGGCTCACAGAAGAGAAGAATTTCATATGAAAGGACAGGAAAGAGTCAGCAAGCACAGAAACATCATCCACATCAGAGGAGAGATGTTGGCTTACAGCTTTCTGAAGTCCAAGACAACCAAAGCCAGTATCTTCACTCCTCCAGCAACACCCAGTCCAGCACAATATGCCCTCGGTGACACTCAGGCAACAAGCACAAAGCCAGGATCTGCCTGGAGGAGCCAAAAGGTCTGTATGTGGAGAGCAATATTCCATCCAGCAGGTCAGAGAGACCATTCTCACTGCTGGTTGAGGTCTTGGGCCAGTACAGCAGAAACCTCTTGGAGAAAGCAGAGGAGAGCCAGTCCCTGGAAGCTTAACATCTGACATAGCCATCCATGAAGAGTTACAAGCAGAATCAAGGAGGAGGAAAGCACATGTGCAAAAGCCAGGTACAGGTTCTTGGCCAACTTATGGTTTCCTCCTTTTGAGGTTACTCCACTGATAAATGAGACTTGCAAGCAAGATTGCAGCAGCCTGTTGAACATTGGGGAAGGCCTTTTAGCAGGGGAGCACATAAAATGCATGGAAGCTCATCACATGGGGCATTTACAACTGGGCCTGAAGGCCCCTGGGCAAAGCCCTGCAAGGCAGCAACCCCAAGACAATCAAGGCTTCTCCCTCCCCCACTTACTAATCTAACCTAATCAGAAAGAGTCATTGTCCTACAGGAGATAGGTTGGGGCCTTTTTTTATTGCTTTCTGCTCCAGGATACTGAAGAAACCATAAACAACAATGCAAGTGATCACAATGCATGACTAATGACAGAACACTGCATGACCTGATCTCAGGGATCCTCAGAAAGCTCTGCCAAAGTGCAGCTCAACAGCTGCTCTGCCAGGGGTCATGAGGACAGCCCTTGGTGACAGGAGCCACCAGTCTGATGCACAAAGTGCACAAGAATCACAGACTGGTTTGGGTTGGAAGGGACCTTAAAGACCATCAAGTCTCAACCTCCTGCCATGGCCAGGGACACCTCCCACCAGCCCAGGTTGCTCCAAGCCCCATCCACCCTGCCCTTCAACACTGCCAGGGATGGGGCAGCCACAGCTTCCCTGGGCAACCTGGGCCAGGCTCTCACCACCCTCACACCAAACAATTTCCTCCTCATGTCCAACCTCAATCTCCCATCCTCCAGTTTTAATCCCTTCCCCCTTGTCCTCTCCCTGCCCTTATCCTAAGTCCCTCTCCAGCTTTCCTGGAGCCCCTTCAGGCCCTGGAAGGTGCTCTAAGGTCTCCC